ACCAACTTCCCAACTCCTATTTTTCTATTTTTGTGTGTTGGTTTTTAACTTTCTCTTGGCTCTCATGGAATTTTATTAAAATTGATAGTTTTAATTGTTTATCTGGTGTTTAAAAGATTTCATTTTGGTTGGGATCTATTGCTGGAGAGTTACTGTGTTCTTTTGTGGTTGTCATAATACTCTGTTTTATAATCTTACCAGTATTGTTTCTCTGGCTCCTTCTTATATGGATAATCAATTTCTTGTTATTTTTGATTTTACTTTCATTTGTATGGGATTTTTTCCCCCTTTGGGAATCTGACTATATTGCATGTTGTATGTGGTAATTTGGAATTGATTCTCTGAGTGTTTTCAGTAGCAAAGACTCTGTATGTGTTCCTTGGTTTTAGATAGCCTTTGTGCAATAGTTGTCTCAAACACCAGTTGTAGTAGTGATGTACTGGGTGTATGAGAAAGCTCATTACCTTCTGTGAGTCTGGGATTGTGGAGTTCTCAGTAAGCATATTTTGTTCCCCAGAGCTGTCCATTTCTTTCTTTCTTTTTTTTTTTTATTGGAGTCTCACTCTGTCACCCAGGCTGGAGTGCAGTGGCGGGCTCATGGCAACTGCAGTGTCCACCTGCTGGGCTCAGGTGATCCTTCCACCTCAGCCTTCCAAGTAGATGGAACTACAGGTGTGTGCTACCATGCCTGGCTAATTTTTTTATTTACTTACTTTAGTGACAAGTTCTCACCATGTTGACCAGGCTGGTCTTAAACCTGCAGGTTCAGGCAATCCCCTCGCCTTGGCCTCCCAAAGTGCTGGGATTTTAGACTTGAGCCACTATGCCCAACCAGAGCTGTCCATTTCTATCAGCTGGTTTTCTATTGGGTTGTGCAATCCAACCTCCAGGTTAGTAGCTGGTGCTCATGAGTAAGAGCTAGCTGTGACAGAAGGAGATGAGTATATGCTTGATCTTTTCTTACTGGGGGGGCATTCTCTGTTGTCTCAGGTGATAGGAAAGTCTCTGGAATTCCTGATACCCTGAGTTCCCTGCTCAGCTCTAGAGAGAGGGACAACACTGGGTTGAGGTGGACTGCCAACCTATCTTGCAAATACACCAGTGACAAGCATAAGCACTAGCTATAATGTGCAGAGCTCCTGGTGAAATGTGCAAAGGTCTGCAGGTGGCAGGGAGCTGCACAAGCTCTACTTCCTCGGCTGTCAGGAACATGATCCACTTTCCTATCATGCCCCAGTTTCAGGGTCTTTGACTCTCAGTGCAGGCAGACAGTGCTAATTACAGGTCATATTGTTGCAGAGAGCCATGGATAATTTCTGTCCTGTGGTTCTGTGCTGAAATGGCTTCAGGGCTACACCTCTCCCATCAGCAGGAAACAAACAGATTTACAGCTCACCTGTTTTTCACGGCAGGAACACTGCTGCTTCATGTTACAATGAGGATGGGCCCTGCCTTTTATGCAAGTCAGGGCCCAGTGGCCACATTGTCAGTGGGGGCAGTTACTCCTAATGACCCTGGAAGGATCTTCCACAGGTGTGTCCATGACAACCACCTGTAGGAGCTGCCAAAACCATGGGTGGGCTGAGGGAGAAAAGTTCTCTCCATGCCCATGCATGAACACTGGGGCTGCCAGGCTGCTGGGGCAGAACCACACTCCTTTCCCACAGAGCTATGCACGGTGCCCACAACTCCTTTTATGGGCTGAAATGGGGAACTTTCAGCACAGTAGAGCATGCATTCTGATTTCGTTTGTCCCACAGGGAGCTTCCTTGGTGTGCTTCACTCTCGTGTATCCTAGGAACAGCATGTCCCAAGGAGCAGACCAGTGGGAATCCTGCAGCTTCCCTGGGTCCAGCCAGCTTTGTGTGGCTGCCATAACCTGCATGTGTGCTGGGAAATATCTGTGGGGGATCTGGTGATGTGGAGATACAAGGACTGAAATTCCCTGGGCAGGAGAGAGTCTCTAAAATGGGTATACACCCAGTATGGTACCCACCTCCACAGCTCAGGTCTGAGTGAGTGGGAAAGTAACCCTGCACAAGCTGGCAGTCCAGTGTGGTATCCTTAAGAAGTTTCCAAATCACCATCCACACTAGTACTTGGGCTCCTGAGGGCAGAGGAAGCCTCCGACAATTCAGAAACTAGCATCTGCCACAGGATAAGAGGAGTCAAAAGAACCCTTACTTACCTCTTCCATGGAACACCAAGGTTTTTGGGGTTCAATCTCTGCAAAACTTTTGCTTCTTTTTCTATACTCTAGCTTCTTCCTATAACTTCAGTAGGCTGCAGCACTTTTCCCTTAATATTCTATTTGAGTTGTGATTATTCACCTGTAACTTTCATTCTTCTGTCTGAGGAGAACTGGCATCTGACATCTCTAGTCAGCCATCTTGAAAAAAAAACCCCATGTATTAATTAATAATTAATTAATTATTGTACTTGGAGACATCTCACTAGCAACTTGACTGTACTTTTTAATGAAATAGTGAAAAATAAATCACTTCATTAATTAGTATAGTGTTGGAACCAATTATTTTATTGTAGTGCTATTTGGCTTATAATGGAATTTTGGACATTGTGGCACTTATGACAAAAAATTTGTATCTTATATTTTTCTAACATGGTAATGTGTGAAACAGCCACTGACATGCATTGCAGGTTCATTGACACATGTGCAATAGTAATTTATTTGATGTCTTCTACCAGGTGTTTTTCTATTCCAGCAGACAATGCAGTATGTAATTTATTGTTCATTCTGTTGTTTGAAGATGATATGGAAAGATGCATTCATGATTCCTGAAAATCATGATGAGTCTAAATCTAACTCACCTTCACTGCTGCTTATATTATAATTCTCACTTTTGCCTTTTTGTTTTGCCATTGTTCTGCAAGCTGAATGGGTAAAAAAATTCTCATTATAAATTACAGAATCACGAAATGAAATTTATCAGAGAAATTTTACTTTTCTAATTTTACTTTTCCTACTTAGTGCAGATAGGTATATTCAATCTGTGCCACTTCATACTTCAATACGATTTGCCTTCAACTTCAAAAATCTCTTTCTTTTAAGGCTATATTAACTTATTTATGTATCTTTTCAAGTTATGCCATATGATACAAAGGGTATACCCACAGCGGCCTTTCTTTCTTTTTTTTTTTTCACTTGGAGTCTCACTCTGTTGCCCAGACTGGAGTGCAGTTGCCACTCCTGGCCACTGCAGCCTCGACCTGCTGGGCTCTGGCGATCCTTCCACCTCAGCCTTCCAAGTAGCCAGAATTACAGGCATGCGCTACCACGCCCGGCTGATTTTTTGATTTATTGTAGAGATGAGATCTCGCAGGTGGGTCTTGAACCCGTGGACTCAGGCAATCCACTCACCTCAGCCTCCCAAAGGCGCGGGATTACAGGCTGAGCCACCGAGCCGGGCTCTGCCTTTCTTATACAAGCTCTTTATCGCCACCTTCTGTTAGAAAAAAGGATTGGGAGAGGGATTGCTGGATCATATGTAAGGTCAATTTTTAGTTCTTTTATCACCATATTGCTTTTCATAGAGGTTGAACTAGCTTGCATCATACCTAGTGATCTATCACAGAAATGAAGAACTGAATACTGCATGTTTTCACTCATAATTGGGACCTGAACATTAATCACATTAACACAAGGGAGGGATCAGCAGTCACTGGGTACTGCCCGGGAAAGGAGGGAGGGATGGGAGTACCTGGTCCTATACCAAGGGAAGTGAGGGCCAGTTGGAGGCCCAGACTTCAACTGCATTCAGCCTATTGTGTAGTTGATCCTTACCTGTAACCAACATCTCTATAATAAAATAACACTTAATTTTAAAAAAAATCAAAAAGTGTCGGCACTACTGTGAAAGCACTTAACATGTTCTCTTTCTACATGATGCCAGCTGATTTTTTTTTTCACTTATCTCAGTCTGTTTCATCTCTAGACTTGCTTTTTTATTGCAATTTGGATGGAAAACTTCAAGGAAAGATACATTTTTGAAGAATTTGCTCTTGCATAAGTTTGTTCTGTATAATCACCAGCAATCTCTTTATGTCTCCTGAGAGAGAACATCAGTGTGTTTGCTAGATTTATGATGTCACCTCAGAGGGAACATTTGAGTGCGAAGGATTAAAAAACACGAAACAGCCCTTTTCCAGTAGTTCTTACAAAACTGTAATGTATTCATCCCTGTCTTCATAACTGAGGCTTTGTAAAAACTTAGCTTTTAATGAGTCGTGATCTTAACTTGAAAAATATGAGATGTTACTTAAGTTTGCCTGATAACATTAAAGAATTTAATTTGTATTTGTTTGCTGAGATAATTTGCCATCTTGACTTTTTTTTTAACCTGGCAGAAAGATAAGCATTGCCTCTGATTTCTTACTAGAAAATAAAATGCCTGAAACCTTCTAAAATGGATCAATATGGAAATAGAAATGAAGGTATCAAATTCCTGACCATAATGTTTGTTTGCTCTTTATTAAGATAACAAAAGGGGGGTTTGGGTCTTAAAAGGAGGTCGCTGGATCAAATTAGTATTATGTTATTTATCTATAACATCACAGATGTCTCAAAGTCTAAGACCATGTCACCTGACTTAAAAGTTTTCTTTTCTACAGTAGTATGTATACAACATAGATTTATTAAATGAAGGAAAGTGATAAAATATTAATTAAAATATAATTATACTATAATTTATAGGGGACATATATCTGTTTTTACTTATTTTTTTAAATTAAGAAAAAATATTTGTATATATTCATAAGGAACACAGTGATATGTTGATACATATAATGTATAGTGATCAGGCCAGGGTAATTTTGTTTTGTTTAATAAATCTTTCTCTATCCCTTCCTTCCCTCTACTTAAATATATATATTTATTGTTAGACAAAATAGAAGGATATAAATTTATGCTAGAGTGTGTATGTAGAGCAATAATGGCTTGAACTGTTAATTTTTTACTTATTTTTTAAAAATTCTCCTATTAGGTTTTTCTTGTTAGAAAGAAGACTGGTCCTGATGCTGGGCAGCTTTATGCAATGAAGGTGTTAAAAAAAGCTTCCTTAAAAGGTAGAAAATTAGAAAGTTCATTAATATAGAATTTGATAAAGCTTATTTTGAGAAATATACAATGTATTACTTGTATGGTATGAATACATGTAGTTTCTTTTTAACATTCATATTTCTTACAGTTTCCTAGGCAACAGGTGATATTTCTATGTTTAATATTGGCATATGCTTTAATTTAGTGAGAATCTGACCTGGTAAAGATTTGACGCTAGAAAACATATTTCATGTAACTTAAATTTATTAATTTTATTAAACAAAACTCTTTTCTTTTCAAGATTCTTGTTTATTCCTGTTCTGTGTCCGTATTGATTTATTTTTTTTAACTTTAAAATTTTTTTAATTTTAAAACTGTGAGGTATATTTCAGGGTTAGGTATACAAATATTCACTGTGCAGGTACCCTTGTTGATGAGGTGTGCCCTGCCCTTCCCCAGGCAGATTTCCATTACTGTCAACCCCACTTGCCCCCCCCCACCACCAGGTTTCCCACTACTGTTCATCTTTTTCTTATAGTATTGTGGTAGTTGTTCAAGGTCCACTTATGAGTGAGAACTTGTGATAATCAGTTCTTTGTTTCTGTGAATGATCATTCAGTATTATAGACTCTAATTCCACCCAGGTTGCTGCGAGGTTCATGATGTGTTATGAGTGAGAACTTGTGATAATCAGTTCTTTGTTTCTGTGAATGATCATTCAGTATTATAGACTCTAATTCCACCCAGGTTGCTGCGAGGTTCATGATTTGTTCTTCTTTATGGTTGTGTAATATTCCATTGTGTATATGTACCACATTTTAAAAATCCAGTCCTCTTTTGATGGGCAGCACGGTTGGTTCCATATTCTTGCTATTGTGTACAATGCTGTGATAAACATACGTGTGCAGATGTCTTTTTTATAGAGTGATTTGAGTTCCTTTGGGTATATTCCCATGAGGGGAATTGCGGGGTCATATGGAAAGTTGATTTTTAGAACTTTTAGGAATTGCCACACTGTTTTCCACAGAGGCTGTACTAGTTTGCACTCCCACCAACAGTGTAGAACTGTTTCCTTTTTGCCACATTCTTTTCAGCAACTGTTATTTTTTGAGTTACTGATGATGGCCATTCTGACTGGAGTTAGGTGGTATCTCAGTGTAGTTTTAATTTGCATCTCCTTGATGACTAGTGAGGCTGAACATTTTTTATGATTCTGTTGGCTGCTCATATGTCTTCTTTTGAGAACTATCTATTCATATTTTTTGCCCACTTTGTAATGGGGTTGTTTTTTTTCTTTTCAGTATGTTTGAGTTCCTTGTAGATCCTAGATGTTAGGCCTTTGTCAGACATGGAGTTGGCAAATACTTTTTTCAAGTCTGTGAGCTGTCTCCCTGCTCTTTGATGGTTTCTTTGGCTTTGCAGAAGCTTGTCAGTTTGATGAGGTCCCACTTGTCTATCTTATCTCTTATGGCATGGGCATTTCAGGTTTTGATCAGGAATTGGTTGCCAGACCCATTTTCCATGAGAGTACCTCTTGCATTTTCTAAGGTTCTTATAATTTGAGGTTTTAAATATATGTCTCTGATCCATTTAGAGTTGATTTTTGTATATGGGGATAGGCAGGGATCCTGTTTCAATCTCCTGCATGTGGTCAGCCAGTTTTCCCAGCACTATTTACTAAATAGGTTCTTGTCTCCTTAGTGGTTGGTAGTGCAGGCTTTGCTGAAGATGAGTTGCCTGAGAAATTGAGGTTTTGCTTCTGGAATCTCAAATTCTATTTCATTGTTCTATATACCTGTTCTTGTACTGATACCAGGCTGTTTTGATTATTGTAGCTTTATAATAGAGTATGGGAGTGTGATACCTCCTGTTTTGTTTTTGTTGTTGTTGTTGTTGTTGTTGTTGAGGATTTTTTTGGCTATTCTTTATCGTTTATATTTCCATATGAATTCCTGTATTGTTTTTTCTAGGTCTGAGAAGAATGTTGCTGGTAATTTGATGGGTATTGCATTAAATTAGTAGATTGCCTTAGGTAGAATGGACAGCATAATGATGTTTATTTTTCTAGTTCATGAGCATGGGATATTTTTCCACTTGTTTGTGTCATCTCTGATTTCTTTGAGCAGTGTTTTGTAGTTTTCATTGTAAAGGTCTTTCACATCTCTGGTTTGGAATATGACAAGTTATTCCATTTTTTTGTGGCTATTGTGAATGGAATTGTGCTTTTAATTTGGGTTTCTGTTTGTTTATTATTGGTGTATAGAAATGCAGTAGTCTTTTGCACGTTTATCTTTTACGCTGAGACTTTGCCAAAGCCCTTTATCAGTGCAAGGAGATTTTTGACATATTCTCTTGAGTTTTCAAGATATAGAATCATGTCATCTGCAAAGAGAGATGACTTGATTTCCTCTTTTTCTATTTGGATACCCCTGATCGCCTTCTCTTCTCTGATTGTTATAACTAGGACTTTCAAAACTATGTTGAACAGGAGGGGTGAGAGTGGGCATCCTTGTCTTGTTCCAGTTTTCAAGGGGAATGGTTCCAAATTCTGTTTGTTTAGCAGTATGCTGGCTGTGGGTTTCTCATAGATAGCTTTTACTATTTTGAGGTATATTCTATCCATGCCTAGATGCTTGAGGTTTTTTTTTTTAATCAGGAAGCGATGCTGGATTTTATCAAAAGCTTTTTCTGCATCTAATGATGTAATCCTGTGGTTTTTGTTTTTATGTCTGTTGATGTATTTAATTATGTTTATGGTCTTATGAATGTTGAGTCAGCCTTACATCCTGGGAATTTAGCCTACTTGGTTGTGGTGGATAATTTTTGAGATATGTTGTTGAATCTGGTTTGCTAGGATCTTGTTGAGAATTTTAGCATCTATGTTCATCAAGGATATTGGCCTGTAGTTCTCTTTGTTTGTTGGGTCTTTACCTGGCTTGGGTATCAATGTGATGTCAGTTTCATAAAATGATTTGGGGAGAGTTCCATCTTTCTCAGTCACCTGGAATACTTTCAACAGGATTGGTATCTGTTCCTCCTTGTATGTTTTGTAGAATTCTGATGGAAAGCCATCTGGTCCAGATTTTTTTTTTGGTAGGTAATTTTCTTATGACATAGTCAATTTCCTTGATTGTTATTGGTCCATTTAGGGTCTCAATTTCTTCTTGTTTCAACGTAGGGAAGTTGTGTGATGTCACAAAGTCCTCCATTTCCTTTAGGTTTTCAAGTTTGTTTCTATACAAGTATACAAGTATAGTAGTCTTGGATAATCGTTTGTATTTCATCAGGATCAGATGGGACATCATCTTTTGTGTTTCTGATTGTGTTTATTTAGGCTTTTTCTCTCTTTTTCTTAGTCAGTCTAGCTAGGGGACCATCAATCTTGTTTATCCTTTCAAGCAACCAGCTTTTTGTTTCATTGACTTTTTGTATTATCTTTTGTCTTCTATGTTCCATATTTGGGCTTTTATTTTGGTGATCTGGATTCTTCTGCAGAAGTTAGGGTTTTGATGGTCTTACTTTTCCAGCTTCCTTTGGTGACTCTTTAGGCTGTTAACTTGTGATCTTTTCATGTTTTTCATGTGTGTTTATAGACATATGAATTCCCTTCTTACTACTGCTTTCATGACATCCAAGAGATTTTGGAATGATGTTTCTTCATTTTAATTTGTTTCCAGGTATCTTTTAATCTCTGTTTTGATTTCCATGTTGACCCAGGAGTTGCTTAGCGTCATGCTGTTTAGTGTTCATGTCTTTGTGGGTTTTGAGGGGTACTTTGTTCATGTTGATATTTATTTTTATTTCACTGTGGTCTGAGAAGGTGCATGGTAAAATTTCAATTTTATGAAATTTGTTTATGCTTGATTTATGTCCAAGGATGTGGTCTCCCTTAGAGTATGTTTCATGCAGTGATGAGTAGAATGTATATATTCTGTGGTCATTGGGTAGAGTGTTCTGTAAGTATCAATTAAGTTCATTTGGTCAAGAGTCACATTGAGGCTCCAGATCTCCTTGCTGATGTTTTGTCCTGATGATCTGTCTAGGGTTGTGATTGGGGTATTAAAGTCCCCAGCTATGATAGTGTTAGAGTCAGTATCTTTTTTAAGTTTGTCTATAAGCTGCTTTATGAAAGTTGGTGTTCCTATGTTGGGTGCATATTTGTCTAGGATGGATATTTCTTGTTGATGGATTTAATCTTTTATCATTATGTAGTGACCTTTTGTATCTTTTTAAATTTTTGATAGCTTAAAGGGTATTTTGTCTAATATTAAGATCACAACTCCAACTTTCTTTTGTGTTCCGTTTGCCTGAAATTTTGCTTCCCTTCCTCCCACTTTGAGTCTCTGAGTGTCCGTCCTTTCTAGTAAGATGGGTTTCTTGGAGACAATATATTTTTGCCTCATGATATTTTATCCATTTTGCCATTCTATGTCTTTTCATTGGTACATTTAGTCCATTTACATTCAGGCTAATTATTGAAATGTGAGAGTTTGTTCCTGTCATGAGGTTCTTATAGAATTGTGTTTGTTTTTGTTTGTTGTTTGTTGTTTTTTGTTTTTTTGATTTTTGGCTGATTCATGTGTGTTTTCAATCTTTTTCCTGCACTCTTTTGAAGAACTTTGTCGTTCTGTTTTTGTTTTCTTCTGTGTTTAATACTTTCTTAAGTGTTTCTTGTAGAGGTGGTCTTGAGGCAGCATATGATCTTAGGAATTGAATGTCTGGGAAAGATTTTACTTCTCTCTCACTGATGAAGCTTTGCTTAGCAGGGTATGTGATTTTTGGTTGAGACTGCTTCTCTTTGAGAACTTTGAAGATTGGGCTCCATGCTCTCCTAGCCTGAAGTGTTTCTGTAGATAAATCTGCTGCTATTCCAATTGTTCTTCCATAGTAGGTAGTTTGATCTTTTTTTCTTGCTGCCTTTAGAATTTTTTCTTTTATACCTACTTTGTTTAGGCAAATTACTATGTGTCTGGGAGTTGGTCTTCTCATTTGTTGTCTTGCAGGGGTTCTCTGAATCACTTGTGTTTGGATTTTGGCATCACTGATGAGATGAGGGAAGTTTTCTTGAATGATTTCATGGAATGTTTGTTCCAGGCTGGTGTCTGTCTCTCTTTCTTCCTCAAGTAGTCCAACTACTCTTAGGTTTGGCCTCTTGAAATAATCGCTCTTCTCTTGAAGGTTTCTTTCTGTCTTTTAAAACTTCTTTTCTATGTTTTTGACAGTTTGGGCTAGTTCTATATTTTGGTCCTCAAGCTCTGAGATTCTTTCTTCTGCTTGGCTAATTCTTCTTGCCATGCTTATTAGTTTGTTATTTAGTTCAATCACAGTATTCTTTACTGCTGTTATCTCAGTTATCAACTCCTTCCTATTTTCCTCTTGTCTCTCCTCGCTTCTTTTTATTCTCTATTAGTGTCTCAATGTCTGGTTTTGTCGTATGTTACCAGTCATTCTGGGGTCTCTTCATTTTTTGCATTCCGAAGTCTGTTTTCTCAGTGTCTGACTTCCCGGGGGTCTGTGTGAGACCTGTATTCTTCTTTGGTTTTTCTTCACTTGTGTAGATTTTCTTCCCCACTTTTTGCCCCCTATTCTTTAGTTATGTTGTTCAGGGATGGTGGGATTGCTTTTACTTCTGTTTGCTTAGTCTCCTATTCTTTCTTATGTGAATCCTCTAGTTTTGTTCAATTCTGTGGCTGAACTGTGGGTTGGGGGACATACTTTTTTGCAGTGTTGAGATTTAATTGAGGGGAGAACTGTGATTTAAAATCTATCTGCAGATCCTAGTATCCACTGACAGGTATATAGGTACCCTGGAACCCACTTCCCACTGCCTTGCAATTTATCCATGCAGTGTGGGTGTAAGTTTGTTCCCTGAAAGCAAAATGAGGTAAAGAAAAGTAAAAGAATAGAACAGGGAAGGAGGGGGGAAATAGGAAGGTGGAGAGAGAGAAGAATAAGAGGGATAACAGACAGATGTATGGACTAACAAATGATAAGAGACACAAAGGCAGAGAAGGCTTAAAAAGAACAAAAACATACAGACAGTCATACAAACACACAAGCCAACCAATCTCCCGATTGATATACAATTCCCCTACACAAACAGGAGGTCTAAGAAAAAAGAGAAATCATTAAAATAACAGAAACAAGGCAAGTACGAAAACATTATCAAATACAGAGAGAAGAGAGAAAAAAGAGAAAAAAAGTAACACATAAAACAAACAATAATGAACAAAACAAACAGACAGAATAAAAATGAAAAAAGTAAAAGCAACGCAACAAGTTTGCTCTAGGATCATTCCTGTGAGCCCAAAGTCCTTTCAGCTCTGATCTCTAGCTCTCATCACAGGCTGGTAGGGTTGCCCACAGCTAGAGCAGGATGTCCCAGGTCTGCTGTGGAAGGATCAGATCTGGACTCAGTCACGTCTGCCACTCTGATCTGACCTGTGTCGGATCTAGCATGGGGGAGGGGCTTCTGTCTCCCCCCATTTGATGTGATTACCTTAGGTCCCAAGTTGGAGGCTGGGCAGAGCTGTGTGGAGCTGGGCAGGGTGATGCAGGTCTCTGTCTGTTCCTGGGACAGAGAAAATGACAGCGGTGGGCCCCAGCCTCTTTATTGGGCATGGGTTTCCTCCCTGACCCTCCCTGATCAGCCTACCTTCACTGATCAGTCTCTGGGCTTCAGCTGATCTCTGGTCCCACCACTGCTGAGGGTTGAGCTGGGGGAGATGGAATGTGAGACAGCTGAGTGCTGCAGGTTGGTGTACCGCACAAGGCAGCTTGGGGTGGAGGAGGGAGCTGGGAATTCCGTGGTGGGACTGGCTGCAGCAGCCACCTTTTGCAGAGGTAGTGGTGGCAGCGTGTGGAACCAGCTGCAGCAGCCACCTTTTGCAGAGACTTTCCCAGTCTGCCTTGTCCTGTTACCATCTTGCCCCTTGTGTGTTAGTATTCTATATTGAGAAAGCACAACCACCTTATGTACAGTGTTTTCTTGGCTGTGATAAAAATACCATTATGCTGTTTCATCAGTAAATTTACTTGAAAGACTTAAGTTGAACACATAAAAAATGCATATTAGCTAAATACCTATTTATACCACTTTAATCCATAACTAGATTTAAACTGAATTTGTTGGCTTTCTGAGAGTATGATCATTATTATATAGGAATGTATAAGGAAAGACTTAAAAAAAAGCAGAATTTTTAAATGAAAAGTTGTGTATTTATGTTTATATGTTTACATGTTTCAGCTTCAGTCACCTTCAAAGTACTCTTCATTTGATGCAACATACCCATCAAGACGCTTTTTCCACTTTTAAAACAGTTTTTGAACTAATCAATTTTAATGCCTTTTAGTGCTTCTACTGTTTTTTGTTTCACCTATTCCACACTGGCACAACATTTCCATTTGAGGACTTTTTTCTTCATCCCAGGGGGCAAAAAAATAGTCTCACGGCATGATTGGGTGAATAGGGAGGGTGGGGCACAGGGATCATACCGCTTTTGGTAGAAAATAGCTGAGCATTCAGTGCAGTATGGGCAGGTGCATTTGTAAATTTTCCATTGTGAAGCAGGCAAACACATTCAAAGAATCTCCAAAAAAGATTTAGTGAAGCCCAGTACAGCCTCTCACAACAATCCTAGCTGGTACATTGATGCCAATGGATTCCTAGAACACTTACCTAGCAGGGTAAGCCTGTGCAGGGGACCCACTCTCCAAGAGATAATTTAGGTTTTTGGGGGTCCTCCCTCATATAATCTGTTAATTGAGGCACTTATAAAGTTATATTTTATATTTTTATATTTTTGTTAGGTTATTGATAGGGGCTTTATGGAAATTATATACAAGAGTAAAATATTTTATCCTTATGTAATTTTTAGTTCGAGACAGAGTTCGGACAAAGATGGAGAGGGATATACTGGTGGAAGTAAATCATCCATTTATTGTCAAACTGCACTATGGTATGTTATCTTTTTTAATTTTTGGAATTTGGGATTTAGGAAGTATGATTGTCTTTCAGACAATGCTATAACAGGAAATACTTCAAACTTATTTAATATACTCAACTATGTAACATGTAGTTATCTGAAATAAATATCTATATTCAGCTCTTAGATATATTTTCTTCATTTGTCTAAGTTATTTAACTCATCTAAGGTAACTAGATTGTGTTTTTGCTTACTTGTGTTGTAGTATGTTTTTACTATGTGCTACCTCTGGTGATCTTAGACTATAAACGATTGTGATACTTTATGTAAAACATTTAGGTATTTGTTAATAATGACCATATTTCTTTATTTCTCATTTTTTTCTTCTATTGAAGAGGACCATGTAGTTATGTTAATTTGTTTGAGCTAATTTTTATACATAATGGGAGAGGAGAACCAGTAAGAAACAGTAGATATAATACAAAGAACACGAGCTTTGAAGTCAGAATTTTCTGAATTTGAATCATAGCTCCATTGCTATTTAACACGTGGATGAGATTGTGGAATATGGTTTTTCTTGGAAACTAAGAACCATTTATTTATCTTTTGTTAAATCACTGAAACAGTCTATAATGTCACTTTCAGTTTTCTAGATATGAAAAAGTAGCAACTATTGATTTTATTATTCTTAGTATAATTTTGATAAATAAATCATTGAAATATGTACCCAATTATCAAAAACCCATAAGAAGTTTTACTCCCTGTTATACTAATGGGGAAAAAGTAGTAGTATCTAACGACCTTCTTCTATCTACAGCATGTCAACAAAAAGCACCTATTGTGTGCAAAATACTGTGTTAAATTCAGTGAGCTATAGAAGTGAAACATTTTCTGGCCTTAAGAAATTTACATCACAAACATGTAAACAAATCAGTTGTACAAATCAAAATGGAATAAGTAACATAAAAGAGGTATAAATATAGTTTAATGAGATCTCAAAAGTAGTAGCAAGTGATTCTGATGGGGAAGAGGGTACGGATGCTGTAGGAATACGTTTAGAATTTTAATCACTAACTTCTGTAAAACAATTAAGTATATTTACTCATATGGTCCATTATTGGATAACAAATAAGAAAAGACAGAAATCCTGGAAAGCATAAGAGAGGAGGTGGCATTTTTTTTTGAGCTTTGTATTATTAATAGATTTTCAATAGGTAGTTGGAAGGCAAAGTTTAGGGCACTGCAGTACAACATGTTTTGTAAATCAAGAAGATAATGGTAGTGGGAGTTTCTGTGTAAAGCCATATGCAGGGTTGATTATAATCTGGGAAGTAGTTTATAGCTATTTCAACACTGGATTAAATACTGGGTTTAATTTTGAGATAAAGTTATCCAATAAATGGACCATAAGAATAAATACTTAATTGCTTTATAGTTTTTAGTGATTAAATTTCTAAACATGTATTAACGTAAAAGCATACTAAGCCTTTTAAGCCTTTAAGTATAGTCCTGTTACTATAATCTTATTTCTAATTAGCCTTTCAGACTGAAGGGAAGCTGTATTTAATATTGGATTTTCTCAGGGGAGGAGATGTCTTCACAAGATTATCCAAAGAGGTGAGTACCTGTAAATTTTTGCTATATTTTTATGAAAACAAAACTAAGAAAATCAATTTTGTTATTTTACTAATTACATTTTCATGTCAAAATTTTAAGTGAAAATTATTCTGTTTGTTCCATTGCTTAGTATTTGGTAATGTACCAGTTAATGGCATTTTCTATCACTTGTCATTTAGTTCATCTCAATGTGCTACTCATCATTCTTTTAGACACAAGAACAATACGAATAACTGGATGAAGTAGGTAAGGACAAGTTTAGAACTTGGGCTACTCAAGCTACCTAAATGCTTCTGGGAGTAGTATTTAATTTATTCATTTAAAAATAGCTTTATGGAGGTATAGTTTACATGCAATAAACTGCACATATTAAAATATATCATTTGATACATTTTGACATGTGTATATACTTGTGAAAGCATCATTACAATAAAAAATAACTAGCATTTATGTCATCCCCAGAAGTTTTTTCATTTCCCTTTGTAATGCCTTTCTCTTACCCTAACCCCGTTGAATCTACTTTTTATCACTATTTGGTTTGCATTTTCTAGGAGTTTATATAAATGTAATCATACAATATATATAACTTTTTGGTCTGATGTATTTAACTTAGCATAGTTACGTTGAGATTCATCCATGTTGTTTTATGTGCTAATAGTTCATTCATTTTTATTGCTGGATAGTATTACTGATTGTATGGCTACATCATGATTTGTTTATTCATTCACATGTTGATGGATGTTTGCGTTGTTGTAGTTTTTAGAATTACCAATAAAGCTGCTATAAACATTCATAGACAAGTGATTGTATGGACATATGCTTTCATTTCTAGGAGTATAATGACTGGGTCATATGATAGGTGTATGCTTTAACTTTTAAAGACACTGCCAAACTGTTTTCCAAAGTGGCTATATAATTTATACATTCCCACCAGCAGCATATGAGAGTTTTGGTTGCTCCACATCCTTGCCAATGCTTGGTATGGTCAGTCTTTAAAATTTGTGAACATCTGATAAGTGTGTAGTCATAGCTCATTATAGTTTTCAATTCCATCACACTAATGACTAATGATGTTGAGCATCTTTTCATGGACTTATTTGCCATCTATTGATCTTCTTGATAAAATGTCTAAGATTTTAGCCCATTTTTTATTAAATTGTTGGTTTTCTTATTGAGTTTTGAAAGTTTTTCATATACTTTGGACATAAGTTTTTGATCATACATGTTATTTCCAATATTTTCTTCTGGTCTATGGCTTGTCTTTTCATTTTCTGAAGTATCTATTGAAAAGTAAAGGTTCTTAATTTTTATGATGTCTGATTTATAGGTTTGTTTCCTTTTATTAATTGTGTTTTTAGGTGTCCTATTTAAGGAATATTTGCTGTATCCAAGGTAAAGATTTTCTCCTATGTTGTCTAAAGGTTTTGTAGTTTAGGTTTTACAATTAGGTTTATGATCTATGTTGAGTTCATTTTACTTTACTATGGTTATAGGTATGTGTTGTTGAAGTCCTTTATTTTAACATATAGATATCTAATTTCTGTAGCATCATCTTTGAAAAATGTCATTCTTTCTTCACCTTACATTTTGTTGAAAACCAATTGATCATATAAATGAAAGTTTATTTATGGATACGGTGTTTTGTTTTTTGATCCCTTTGTCTATCTTTATGACAATACCACACTGTCTTGATTACTACACCTTTATAATATGACTTGAAGTCAGGTAGTGTAAATCCTTGAGCTTTACTTTTCTTTTTGAAAGTTATTTTCACTCTTCTAGGTCCTTTGCATATCCATTTCAATTGTAAAATTGCTTTTAAAATTTAAAACTTTGTACAAAATAGCCTGCTGGGACTATGATTTGATTGCATTGAATCTATAGGTAAGTTTGAAGATAATTGGTATTTTAACAATATTGAGTCTTTCAATCTGTGAACATGCCATCTTCTTCATTTACTTAGGTCTTTTTAATTTCTCTCAGCAATGTCTTGATTTCAGTATATAAGCCTTGCACTTTTTTATCATATTTATTTCTAACAAGTTCTTATTCTAATACTACTGGAAACAGAGTTGATTCTTTAATATCAGTTTTCAATTGGATGGAAACTACTTTTTTTGGTATATTTAGCTTGTATCCCACAATCTAGCTAAACTTATGTATTACTTCTAGTGACTTTTAAAAAATAGACTTCAAAGGATTTTCTATTGTTAATCTCTGAATAAGGAGTTTTACTTCTTTTCCATTATTTATTTCTTTTATTTGTCTTTGTCACACTGGCTTGAGCCTCCAGTTGTGTTCAATAGAATTGGTAGAATCAGATATTCTTGCCTTATTTCTGATATTAGGGAGAAAGTATAATTTCATCATAAATTACTAAGTTAAATATAGATATTTTCAAAAGTTTTTATTAGGTTGAGAAAATTCCCTTATGTTACTGATTTTTGAGAATTTTTTAAAAAATTAAGACTGGATGTTAGAGTTTTTCAAAAGCTTTCTGTGCATTTATTTAGATGATAATATATTTTTTCTTCTTTAGCCTTTTAAAATGATGAGTTTATTGATTATCAGCTGTTGAGTCAACGTTGCATTGGTAGATGAACCCCATTTTGTCTTGAGTTGTGTTTTTTTTACATATTGTTGGATGATATTTGCTAATAATTTGTTAACACTTTTTGTATCTATTTTAATGAGGGACATTTGACTGTTTTCTTGTTTAAGCATTATCTATGACTTCTCTTGCACTTCAGTGGCAGCATACATGTGTGGTCATTTTAACTGAATGACAGACATTTTAAATTTAATATTCTCACATGCTAGATACTTTTATATTCCTATAAATAGTATTTAACTTTGTTCTAAAATGCAGTTAATATTCTTGGAAACTCTTTGAGTATTTTGGGTCTTGCTTTTGAGATTTGTCATGTGAGACCAAGGCAGTATTTAGTTCAGTGTTAATTTTTTCCACAATATTGAACCATGATCCTTCTTAATACTCTAACCCATAGCCTTCAAATTATGAGACTTTTCACTCTTACTGTAAGTTTCCTAAGTCTGAAATATTAGCCATTATAGACTCAGTGGATCTTTCTTATGATCCTTTAAGGTTTATCTTTTCCTAGGCTCAGGTAGTTTTCTCAGACCTATGATGGGCAATTATTTATTGGGTGGCAGACATTATGAAATTTACCTTGTTAGGGTGATCAGTATTTTTAATATTTCTTTTTTTTTCCATATCAATATTTTTTAATGCTATTATGGGGTACAGTTAAGGGTTAGGTATATAAATATGCTTCATTCAGGCACCCTTGTTGATAAGAGGTGTCTCCCCGTCCCCAGACAGATATTTACTACCATTAATCCCATCTCCCTTCCCCCCACATAGTTTCTCACCACTGTCAGTCAATTTCCTATGGCATTACATTGGATGTTCAAGGTCCACTATATGAGTGAGAACATGTGATACTCAGATCTTTGTTTCTGTGAGCGGTCACTCAATATTATTGACTCTAGTTCCATCCAGGTTGCTGCAAAAATTCGTGATTTTGTTCTTTTTCATGGCTGCATAGTATTCCATCGTGTATATGTACCACATTTTTTAATCCAGTCCTCTTTTTGATGTACAGCACGGTTGCTTCCAGGTTCTTGCTATTGTGAACAATGCTGTAATAAACAGTCATGTGCAGGTATCTTTTTTATAGAGTGATTTGAGATCTTCAGGGTATATTCCCGGTAGTGGGATTGTGGGGTCATATGGGAGGTTGATATTTAGAGCTTTTAGGAATCGCCACACTGCTTTCCACAGAGCTTGCACTAGTTTACACTCCCACCAATAGTGTAGAAGTGTTCCCTTTTCACCACACCTTCTCCAGCAACTGTTATTTTTTGAGTTATTGATAATTGCCATTCTGACTGGAGTTAGGTGGTATCTCAGTGTGGTTTTGATTTGCATCTCCCTGATGATTAGTGAGGTTGAACATTTCTTCATGTGTCTGTTGGCTGCTCAGGTGTCTTCTTTTGAGAAGTGTCTGTTCATATCTTTTGTCCATTTTATAATGGGGTTGTTTGTTTTTTTTCTTTTCAGCACGTTTGAGTTCCTTGTAGATCCAAGATGTTAAGCCTCTGTCAGACCTGGAGTTGGCAAATGCTTTCTCCCAGTCTGTAGGCTGTCTCCCTGCTCTCTTGATGGTTTCTTTGGCTTTGCAGAAGCTTGTCAGTTTAATGAGGTCCCACTTGTCTATCTTATCTCTTATGGCCTGTGGGTTTTGGGTTTTGTTCAGGAATTGGATGCCAGTTCCAATTTCCAGGAGGGTATGTACTTCATTTTCTAAGGTTCTTATGGTTTGAGGTTTTACATTTAGGTCTCTGATCCATTTAGAGTTAATTTTTGTGTATAAGGATAGATAGGGGTCCTGTTTCAATCTTCTGCATGTGGTCAGCCAGTATTCTCAGCACCATTTACTGAATAGGTTCTCCTCTCCCCAGTGGTAGGTGGTGGAGGCTTTGTCGAAGATGAGTTGGTTGAGAAATTGATGTTTTGCTTCTGGAATCTCAGTTCTATTCCATTGATCCATATGCCTGTTCCTATACCAATACCAAGCTGTTTTGATTATTGTAGCTTTATAGTAAAGTTTGAAGGCTGGTAATGTGATACCACCTGCTTTTTTTTTTTTTTTTTTTTTTGCTGAGGATTGTTCTGGCTATTCTTGGTTGTTTGTGTTTCCATATGAATTCCTGTGTTGTTTTTTCTAGGTCTGAGAAGAATGTTGCTGGTAATTTGATGGGTATTGCATTAAATTAGTAGATTGCCTTAGGTAGAATGGACAGCATAATGATGTTTATTTTTCTAGTTCATGAGCATGGGATATTTTTCCACTTGTTTGTGTCATCTTTGATTTCTTTGAGCAGTGTTTTCTAGTTTTCATTGTAAAGGTCTTCTATGTTTTTGATTAGGAAGATGCCAAGGTCTTTAATTTTTTTGAGGCTATTGTGAATGGAAT